ACGCCTTTCGTCAAGAGCGGGAACGAAGCCAGCCGATGCACTTTTTTTTTACAGCCGCAGGCGGAAGCGCCAGCGGCGGAAGGTCGCGAACGGGCCGCGGACGCGACTAAATTACCTAACGCGCGCAGGGCCGCGGATCAGGCGGCTCACGACAGCGTCCAGGAAAGACGATGCAGTCCAGGTGCCATGACAGCCCCTGAACGGGCATGCAGGTGCGTCCAACAGGCCTGAGGTAGGCACCGAGACCACCAACCGCAGCCAAAATGGCGCGAAAACGCGAAGAGGGCAGACCTCATGAACGGCTGGGCGAGCCACTCGAGAGGCCAAATTGCCACAACAGGGGAAGTAGTCGATGGTGGACTGGTGGCTGATGATGTTTGTGAGGAGGCTGACGGGCAGCGGCGCCTGCCTCCAAAGTCGAGCCCTGCAGCCGGTCCACCCAAGACGAATTGTGTTTGAGAAGCTCACAGCGGGAAGCTTTGAAACCGCCATCCACCACGCAACCAAATTCAAACTTGACACATTCACGCAAATACTGAACCAACGTAGTAACCGTTTATCTGCTACGGGGGAGAAGCTGGTCCCGCCTCTCGGCCCCTTAAGGTCTGCGCCGCTGTGACCCTGCCCGCCTCCAACATCAGATACTTCTGTCCAAGGAACGGAGGGCACGCAAGAATAATAGCAGTCCTGCAGAGTACTGCCAACGCCAGCTAACAAGGTGAGGCGGACACCAAAAACCAAGATCCACGGATTCCTTCACCTGCTCTGCTGATCTTGAGTACGTTCTTCATCGGCACGCAGCTCCTGCACTGTAGTGGAAGAACTGTAGGCGTCACCTCTAACAACCAGGATTCCAATGAATTCTGCATCTCTGAACGAGACGTGATGTTCGCAGTGATGATCCAACCTTTGGCCTCCACCTGCAACGAGCTGACCCGCTGATCCTGTCCTGGCTCTCTACCAGTGTCAAATTCCGTCTGCGGTACCGTCGAGGCGTGGCAACTTCCATCTCGTCCACGTTTCACCGTGGATGCGTTGTCTGTGTGCTTCCAGCCGATGATTCGGATTGCTTGCCCAACCTGAGCTGTCCTCGTTTCATCTGCACAGTCAACTCCGATAGCTTTGTAGCCAATCCAGCGCCAGCGTCTTCAAGTAAGTTTTTAAGTTACCCGAAGCCTGCAGGTGCAGATCCATGCCAGGGATACGAGCATCCTACTGCCGAACAACGTGACCAGGACCACTACCGTCCTCACCTAATGATGTGTGACGTTGCTTCAATTCGTGCAGTTTGGCTTACACTTGCACCACTTGTTGAGCAGTCTCATCCACTGCCGCCTGAGCCTTGGTAGCTATCTCCTGGGCCTGAGCGGCTTGCCACTTAGCATTTGTTTCAGAACACCGCCCCTTCGCTCTTTGATCGGTAAGGCCTACATAATTCGCCTCGCCATGCTTTGCATCTGCAGCTGCTTCAGCCGAGCACGAAGCGATGCCACGGTCGGTCCCAAGCAGACTGGTTACCACCTGACGCCACCTTCTCCTAGCCTGCCAGCTCCTGGTATACCTGCGCCAACTTCGGGCGCGTGGTCTCCAGCGCGTGTCGGAGGAGGACTCAGCACCATTCCCATCAATGGCTGAGTCGGTCTACGGTGTGGGGGCCGAGCTTCTTGAGCCGAGAGCTGCATTTCCAACTGGCTGGTGCAAGACCGCGCCAACTTGAGCTGCTTCGCTGTCCTCGACCCACCTCCGACCTCACTCGCATCAACTGCCCAAGATGCGGGGCCCCTGGTACGCTTTGTAGACACCTTAAGTTGGCCCCACTGGATCACGATTCCGTAAAAAGCGCGACTATTCATGTACGTGGCACCCTCCACACTTTGTGCTGGCCGCCAACTCTACCAGGGCTTACCGGAGCCACTCACACAGGAAGCGCCCGGGAGGCGGCATGCTGATGTTCGCGCGAGAACCCAAGAACAGAGGCCGATCGGCGTGGACGAGTGGTTGGGAAAGCAGCGCGGCCGAAGCCGCAGCACCGTAGTGAACTGATATGTGAGCGGTTGGGGCCGCCGATCCCCACCCAGTGCCAAAAAAACATTGTCCTGAGCGCCCCGCTGGGGACTTGGACCAAAACGGCTGCGGATCCTCCTCCTCCTCCTCCTCCTCCTCCTCCTGCTCCTCCTCCTCTTCCTCGTCCTCCTCCTCATCCTCCTCCCTCCCCTCCTCCTCCAAGCTTCGAGCTGCGGTCGTTTGATTCCCCGAGCTGCTCCTCCTTCTCCCCCTCCTCCTCCTTCTCCTTATCCTCCTTCTCCTTCTCCTTCTCCTTCTCCTTCTCCTTCTCCTTCTCCTTCTCCTTCTCCTTTTCCTCCTCCTCCTTCTCCTCCTGCTCCTGGGGCGCTCGCAGGGGGCCCGATCCTCAACTGCCTGAAGGGCCCGAGAACAAAGACCGGTCAGCCACTACCCCCAGGCACGTCAGGGCGTGGTCTTCTTTGGGGGCAACTCAACCTTCAAAAGCCCTCCTCCTCCTCCTCCTCCTCCTCCTCCTCCTCCTCCTCCTCCTCCTCCTCCTCCTCCCTCTGGCGGTGCCGCCGTCCGCCGCCGCTCGACGATGCCGCCGCCGCCGCCGCCGAGATACCGCCAGCGGCGTCCTGCTCTGGCGCCCCCGCGGCCCCGGTCTGCCTCTGCGCCGCGCCTCTGGCGGCCAATGCCCAGGGGTCGCCGCGCTCCCAGGGGTCCTGGGGATGCCGCGCGGCGGGAGGTTCGATAATCCAGGTTTTAAGATGTTTTTGATGGGCCGGTTGTAGTACGAGAGGAGAGAGGAGGAGGAGGAGGAGGAGGAGGAGGAGGAGGAGGAGGAGGAGGAGGAGGAGGAGGAGGAGAAGGAGGAGGAGGAGGAGGAGGAGGAGAGGAGGAGGAGGAGGAGGAGGAGGGGAGGAGGAGAAGGAGGAGGAAGAGGAGGACCTCCCATCCTCCTTTCTCCCCCGTCCTACCTACGGTAGCGGTGGTGGAAAATCGCCCCATCAATTTCCGTTGGTCCCTTGATGTTTTCTTGCCTCGGGATGCTCTTCAGTAGCCACGCCTCGCCGAGAGCGCTCCAGGGGTGCAGGCTCGGCTCGGGGGGGGCCCTGAGATCTGGGCGTTGTAACTTGTCACGCCGAGCGTTTTCGCTCAGTTTCGGTCCCCGGGGCCATCGCAGATCGATCTGGCCCCAAAGATGCCGCAGAGAAGCGGGGTCTAGAGTCTAGATGCAGCCGTGACTGTTCGCAATGCTCAATTTGTCTCCAACGTCGGATCTCAGGGGCGGTCGGGCGGGCCTGAGAGAGAACGTCAGGGAGGGCGGGGGGGCATCTCAGGGTGCGGAAGGAGGGGGCATCGGCATAGAATCGGCGATCAATCACCAGCAGATCGGCGACAGGCCCCCGACAGCGGCTCCGCACGCTCCCGGGCGGTGTGGGGGAATGGGGCTCCCCTTGGCGATGGGTGACTCCCCCCCCGGGGCCCATCCCCCCCTCAACGTTGCCCCCGAAGGCCCCCTGGCGTCGCGACCGCCCGGTGCGCCGAGGAGGGGGGCCAGGGGGGGGGGGGGGGCAGCGCAGCGTGGCCCAAGGCGCGTGCGCGCGCGAGGGGCGGCGGCCCGGGGGACGCGATGGAGAGAAGGAGGGGGGGCCACGAGACCCGGGAGGTGATCGATCCTCGCCCCAGTCCCGTGCAACCGCACACCCTGCGCCCCTCCTCGAAAGCAAGCGCGGATCCTCCCCACGACGTGGCGACGCCCCCGGGGCCCCGAATGCTGATTTTTGCTGACGCCGAGGCTGGCGACTGCCCTTAAGAAAGGTGCGGTCGGGCCGAGGTATGCTGTGAACATTCCAGGATGCTGGCCCAGATTTCTTCATTTGTTCGTTTCTTGATCTTGCTTCTGGCTGTATGCTCTTGTGCCTAGGTCTGGCCGGATCGGCGGCGCGCAGCGGGTGCTGTCAATTCGAGCTCTGAGCAGCGAGGCCACGTTGCGCTTGTTGCAAAGCCCGTTGGCGGGCAATCACTTGTATGATCTGCTTTACGCATGGAGGATTGCAGGGCGACAGTGTCGCCTCAAGCAGCCTCACTTTCGAACCACTGTCTCAGACTTACAAGCTCGTCTTCATTTCGGAAGGGGATGAGGAACGAGAGGAGGAGGTGGAGGAGGAGGAGGAGGAGGATCGGGTGCCCCACTCGGTGGGCGGGCGCGCGCCTGAATGCCCTCCTGCTGCTGAACCTCCCTCTAAAATTTCCCAGGTCTCCGAAGTTTCCGTTTTCCGAGAAAAAAAAGTCTGACTTCTGCCTGTGCTGATCCTGCTCAGGAGCAACCTGTTTCTATGCTCACCCGCCAGTTGTCGCACTCCAGTTCCCCTCCTTCCCCTCCTCGGGCGAGCCTCTCTGATGCTGCGTCTGCTGTCTTTCCTTCTCGTCCCCTGGTCTTGTCATCCAATGAGAATCAGCGAGTGAGATGCTCTGATACGTCGGCGGATGGCGCCACGGAGCACCACCAGCAGGCCGACGTCCTGGACAACTCAGGACTGTCTGGGGGCCTTGGGTAGGGTGCTCTGGTCACAGACAGCGGGGTACGCTGTGCTGCTCCTCCTCCTCCTCCTCCTCCTCCTCCTCCTCCTCCTCCTCCTCCTCCCTCCTCCTCCTCCTCCTCCCCCTCCCCCTCCTCCTCCTCCTCCCGTCTCGTCCTCCTCCTCCTCCTCCTCCTCCTCCTCCTCTCCTCCTCCTCCTCCTCCTCCCTCCTCCTCCCTCCTCCCCCTCCTCCTCCTCCTCCTCCTCCTCCTCCTCCTCCTCCTCCTCCTCCTCCTCCTCCTCCTCCTCCTCCTCCTCCTCCTCCTAATTTCAATGCTGATGGACGCGCGCAGCGCGGCCCGCAGGGCCTCCGCGGGACACGCCCTCAGAGCGAGGCTCGTGGCAGGCTCCACACAAACTGCGAGGCCCAGATCGGGAGGCGAGCGCCCCGGACGACCAGCAAGGCGCCTCTACGCGTCGGTGGCGCCCGTCGCGGACTCGCCGATCTCGACCGAGTCCATCCAGCTGTCCAGCGCCTGCTGCCTGGACGCGGAGCACTCAGGGGTGAACTTCTCGATAGCCTTGTCGTGGCGCGACGTGCCCAGCAGCCCGCCAACCTGGCCGCCCGCTGCCAGGCTCGGCACCCCCGACATCTGCACGTTCAGGGCCTGCCGCGACGCCTGCGAGACCACCAGCGTGGCCCTGTGGACCCGGAGCTCGAACGCCTGCGCCTCCACCCGCTTGCCGAAGGCTTCGCGGCGGATCGCTCGCACCTGAACCCCGTCGCTCGTGGCTTCAGTCACGTCCTCTGCGGCGGACTCGCCCACGGAGATCCAGCGCCCCAGGGACGGGCCAGGGGACGTCACCTGGAGCGAGAACGGGTTCTGCATCAGGCTCCCCGCCGTGTTCGAGCCCGGGAGGTCGCGCATCATCGGCCGCACGTGCAAAGTCCTGCCCTCGAGCATCTCGCCGCTCACGACGACCGCCCTGATGTACAGCCCGCAGGGCTTCTCGCCGTCCCCGGTGATGTTCGCCTCCAGCTGGAAGCGGGCCGGCTGCTTCGCGTCGGGAGGTACACGAAGGAGGGTGTAGACCCCCGGCTGGTTCACGTTGAACTTCTCACCTGCCAGGTTCGTCAGGTGAGGATCGTCAGTTGCAGACACCGAGTCTCCGCTCATGTAATCGGCTGGAGGGGGCGTTGTCGAAACCGTAGACGCATCAGCGGCCTGGCAGTCGGAAAGGAACGAGGAGCAGGTCGTCTTGCAGAATTCGTAGGCCTCGGCCGCGTACTGCCTTCGCCTCGACGTCATGGCGTAGGCGCAGCTGCTCACGCCGTCCGTGGTTAGCTGCTCGCAGGACTTGCCCGAACGCCGGCGCGTGCTGTCGTCGGGCGGGCACACGGCCGTCGGCCCGGGAGTCGGTGACGGCGTCGCGCCCGGGGACACCTGGCAGCCGACGTAGGCGGCGCAGGTGGTCTGGCAGTAGTCCCAGGCCTCCCCCCCGTAGTAGCGGCGGCGCGACTGCGACGCGATCCTGCAGCTGCTCTGGCCGTTTGTGCGCATCTGGGTGCAGCTCTTCCCAGAGCGCCGACGGGACGGGTCGTCCGGCTCGCACATGGGCTGGGCGTCGCACGCGTCGCAGGCCTCCGGGCACGCCAGCTCGACAAGGAGCCCGTCGGTGGGGTCCTGGCACAGCGCCGGGACTGCAGCGTCGGAGCAGTCGGACGGCGCCGGGGAGCCGCCGCTGAGCACGGTCGGGAGCACCTGGTCGTAGTTGGAGCAGTTCGCTGGCGGGCACTGGTCGCAGACCAGCGGGCAGGCCAGCTGCATCGCCATGCCGTGGATCTCGTGCTGGCACAGCTCCCCCACCTGGCTGTCGCTGCACCCAGTGAGCGTCTCGCCCGCACGCGACGCAACCTCTACTGCGGCCTGGTCGTGGTTGAGGCACGTGCCTGCACACTTGCAGCTGTTGCAGTGGGCCTCCATCGATCGAACCTGGATCTGGAAGTACGCGCCCATGTGGTACAAGTGGCCCGACGAATTCACAAGCACCTCGATCGAGTGGCCGCCCGCGCTCACGAAGATGGTATTCGCACGTGCGGACACCTTGCACATGTCGCACTGGCTGACGACGCATGCTTCCCCTCCAAAGCCTTCGCCTGCGGTCAGCGAGGCCACGTGAGCGCCGTCAAGGAAGACGTGGCAGTGCTCGTAATGAGCCTGCGCCCTCCCGGACACGTCCAGGAGCAGCTCGGACGCCACGGGCGCGGTGAAGTTCAGGACCGCGACGCCCATGGTGGAGAAGTTCGCCGAGGCGTTGCCGACGCAGTCCGCGTTGTTGACGAAGTCGTAGCGCACGTAGTGCTCATTGTACGACCAGCTGCCACCGTCCGTGGACTGCGTCTGCCAGTGGCTCTCACCGATCGGCGCGCAGCACCCGTCGACGACCTGCTGCGACGAGCACTGGGGGGAGCCGGCGAGCATCTGCTGCATGTCGGACGACGACATGCCCGCCGTGTTCAGCAGCTGCGACCGTCCGTGCGGGTCGTTCCTCCGCCCATGCTCGAGCGTCAGAGGGGTCTCTGACACATCCGTACGTTCGGGGACCTCCGGCACCACGGTCGCCGCCGCGGGCAGGTAGGCCTGCTGGTACAGGACGTCGTCAACGTAAGAGAACACTTCTTCCTGGCCCCAGCTGCACACGCTGCATGTGAACCAAAACGCCCATGTGGCTGATAAAGGTAGCCCCCTGCCTGGGACCATCCTCCGAAATAAAGATGAATACGCAGCCTCACATCTACGGACCCCTCGTGATCATAATAATCCCACCAGCCCTCTGGGCGTAGTTGGTTTAGGGAGTTTCCTCTTCCATCTTCCCTTCTTCCCCTTCGGGGAGGGGTTTACCCCTCCCCCTAACCCCCTCCCCTGGACCTGGACGGGCCCGGTCGCGAGCGGTCAGAGTGTCCAAGATGGCCCAGGATGGCTCCACGAGCGCCTCGGATAGTCCAAGATGACTTCCAAGATGGCTCAAGATAGCCTAAGATGCCGCAAGATGGCTCCGAAGATGCTCCAAGACGCTCTCAGAACGCTCCAAGAGGCCAATTATCTCCCCAAGGAGGCCCCCCAAGAAGCCAAAATCCTTCAAAAACCTAAGGAAAACCAATGATTTTCGGCTTCTCGCCTTTTCGCTTCCGATGGCCATCTGAGGCCTCAACATGGCTCCAAGAGGGGCCAAGGAGGCCCCAAGCTGGGCCCAAGAGGGCCCCAAGACGGCCCCAAGAGCGCCCAAGAGCGCTCCAAGAGCGCCCCAAGAGGGGTCCAGGCGGCTATTTTGGGAGCTCCCGAGGGGCAGGGTTAATTAGGGAACCCCCCTTCTTTGATCGATCGCTTCCAAGATGGCCCCAAAGGGCGCCCAGGAGGCCCCAAGAGGCTTCCAAGAGGCCTCCAAGAGGCCGCCATGAGGCCCCAAGAAGCCCCCAAGAGGCTCCAAGAGGCTCCCGAGGATGGTTCCAAGAGGCCTCCAAGAGGCTCCAAGAGGCCGCCATGAAGCTCCAAGAGACCCCCAAGAGGCCCCAAGAGGCCTCCAACAGGCCCCCAAGAGCCCCCCAAGAGGATCCCAAGCGGCCTCAAGAGGCCCCCCCGAAGCACCCAAGACGCCCAAGAGCCCCCATTGACCGCCAAGAGACCCCCAAGACGCCCGAAGAGGCTTCCAAAAGGCTTCCAAGAGGCATCCGAGCGGCATTCAACCATCCACCCAGCGTCATCATTCTCCTCATCCCTCCTTCGCTCGGTTCCTCGCCACCCCCTCATCTATCCATCTGGCCTCCTCTTCCGCCTCATCCTTTGCACGGATCGGCTGTCCCTCTCGTTGCTCCCCCACTTCCCTGATCTCTTCAACTTGCCTGGACATCGTTTCTGGATAGGCTGGTGGGGATACGCGAAGCGGCAATAATTATAATGTATAAAACTGCAGGCTTGGCGCAAACGATATGTTTGCTTGAGCCCGCGCTTGAGCCGAAATGGCTACGGAGGAGGAGGAGGACGAGGAGGACGAGGAGGAGGAGGAGGAGGAGGAGGAGGAGGAGGAGGAGGGGGAGGTTTAGTAGGAGGATGAGGAGGAGGAGGAGGGAGGAGGAGGAGAGGAGGAGGAGGAGAGGGTGGATGAGGAGAGGGGGATAGGGGGAGGAGGAGGATGAGGAGGATGAGGGAGGGAGGAGGGAGGAGGAGGAGGAGGAGGAGGAGGAGGAGGAGGAGGAGGAGGAGGAGGAGGAGGAGGAGGAGGAGGAGGAGCGAGGGGGTCGGACCAAAACTCTTGCGCTTGGTTTCGACGAGAGGGCTGTGGTTCTCGCCCGTCCTCTGGGCGCCCCCAGAGGACAAGGCAAAGAACAGGACTGAAGGGGCTCTGGGACACAAATGAATTCCCACAGATAACAGGATTCCCCATATTTTCCCCTATTTCCTGGGTTTTCGTCTTCCCCGCATGTCCCACATTTTCCAAAGAGTTACACACTTCGTGGTCTTCGAGGTCCCAGAACTCAATTCATGGGCATGTTTTTGAATGCCCGGAGCCAACTGTAGGCCACTTCGTGGTCTTCGAATTCCCAGAACTCCATTCCTGGGCATGATTTTGAATGCTCGGAGCCAACTGTAGGCCATTTCGTGGTCTTCGAGTTCCCAGATTTCAACTCCCTGACATGATTTTGAATGCCCGGAGCCAACTGTAGGCCACTTCGTGGTCTTCGAATTCCCAAAACTCCATTCCTGGGCATGATTTCGAATGCTCGGAGCCAACTGTAGGCCACTTCGTGGTCTTCAAGTTCCCAGAATTCCATTCCTGGGCATGATGTTGAATGCCCGGAGCCAACTGTAGGCCACTTCGTGGTCTTCGAGTTCCCAGAACTCCTTTCCTGGGCATGATTTTGAATGCCCAGAGCCAGCTGTAGGCCACTTCGTGGTCTTCGAGCTCCCAGAACTCCATTCCTGGGCATGATTCTGAATGCCCGGAGCCAACTGTAGGCCACTTCGTGTTCGAGTGCCCAGAACTCCATTCCCGGGCCACATTTTGAATGCTGAGGCAGGCTGATGCTGAGGCTGAGGCAGGCTGAGGCTGAGGCAGGCTGAGGCTGAGGCCGAGGCCGAAGGCAGACTGAGGCTGAGGCTGAAGCAGGCTGAGGCTGA